ATGTCCAGAAGAACGATGAAAGCTCCATGATCAAATCAACAAAACTTCATCAATATCATTCACCTGAATTACAAATCTTCTCCATCATTTCAAAATTACAAAAATAATAAAAATTCTAATTCTTTATATCTAAAAATAAAAGAGAAGTAAAGAGAAATACTTCTTTGAAATTCGATTTTCTTCATAACTTTACATGAATAAATATTTATTTTACAATAAAAAAACACTAATCAACTAGTGTAGTGTGTACTACTGATATCAACAGATATAAGTATCATGTGTCGTCGATTGAAAGTGAAATGTCTTGTGGCAGAAGGTTAAGAAGATCAAGGAAAAGAGAACGAGAACAGACAATGATTGGTGTGGAAACGAAAGAACAATGAAGTGTGAGACGATCGATCGACATTTTGTAAATGAAGTATTTACTGTATGGTTCTCAAATTTTAGTAAGATGATCTGTAATTCGAGTGTTCAAATACATTCGATTGTTCCCACTTATGTTCTCGTTTACTACAGTGGTATTGGGATGCATGAAAAAAATATTGTAAATTCACGTGTACCTGTAGAAATCATGTCTAATGATTAAGGATATGATAAGGAATGTAAATGAAGAGAACACGCTAATTGTTATATCCAGACTAATTAATATTAAGTGAATTTCAACATGTAATCAAAGAATTGAAGGACTATCTCATAGACAAATAATATAGAGAAAACTATAATAAAAATAACCCCATTGGGTGTATAATTTCTATTTCACTAACAATTGTTTACAGAAAACAGTGAAATTTATTTGTAGTGAACTAATAGATAGATTTATAGAAACTGGAATTTACGTGGATATTATAGTAATTTGATATTTGAATTCATGAGTCATTTGAAGCTAGACCACCATGGAGAACCTGTAGGTTGAGTCGTGGATGTGAACTGCTGAGGGATCCCATACTAAGACGAAACGGCCGTCCAGTGATTCCAGGTTTTCCATGGTGGCCTAACTTCAATCGACTCATGAATTCAACTTTTAAACTACTATAATATCCACAAAACCCATTTCTGATTATAATAATCATATGCTAGCTAGTGACGGTCTCTAAGAGGTATTTCCTGGAGTTTTAGTGAGATGCAGAGACCAGTGAAGTTCAACCGTGTCAGTTGTGAGATAGTAACCCACTGAAGATAATAGTGGACGGTGTCGCAATTTCGTGAATTAGTCGGAGTTGAACATTAACACCAATGAATGCTGGCTCGGTGGCCTAGAGGTTAAACGTTCGCGCACGAGACTGATAGGTCATGGGTTAAAATCTCGCTATGCAGGATTGTGAATTCGCGCTGCTGAAGAGTCCCATACTAGAATGAGACGGCCGTTCAGTGTTTCCAGGTTTTCCATAATGATCTAGCTTCAAATAACTCATGAATTCAACTATTCAATTTTTTTATTATTAATATTCGACTTATTAAAAAATATTATTAATTCGCTTAGTAAACATTATATAATCTCGTAATTCTTTGATTATATCTTTGAATGCATTCAACATTATTTCTTTTGATTATAATAATTACCTTATTCTCTTCCCCGTTTACAATCCTGATTATATCATTAATCATTTGACATAATTGTCATGGATACTTGTGAATTTACAATTTACAGTTTGTGTATCACACTAAATTAAATTGAATTATGATTAGCTCGATTTTCATCAGCTTTCGAGTCCATAATCCCATATCCTCAGGAGTTTGTATAATCTCTTTGGACAACTAACTTTATTATTCAAAATACTTCTAGTGCTTAATTCAAGTGATAAAATGCGTAAGAATTTTTTATCATTGGATAAAATTTATCAGCTTGATAACATATAACTAATATATCTACCAGGGAAGTCCTACTCACTACCTTCTCTCACTATGGGTGTTGTTTACGAAACTGAGAGGATGGAAAGCGAATGTCCGGCGCTTTAACCGGGTTAGTGCACACGGAGAGTTCACCTAGGGGAGTTGGAAAACCCTCATTCCAAACCAATGGTGCACATGGGCTCCAGTATCCTGAAGGAACAAATATCGTATGGTCACCAGCTGCCATGAAACTGCATCTTCTTACGATACTCCACTGCCTTGTGGATCAGACATTTATATCGAAGGCTCTAGGTGTGGCTCTCTAAGAAAACTACCTGCATCGGTTTGGGCACTCGGGCAGTATCACAGCCTTCACACAAATCGAATGATTTATGTGGCGCATATGTGTTTGGTGCCTCCTTGTATCAATATCTATGTGTTCAAATAATAATAAATAAAATAAATGATACTTTATTTATATTTCTAATAGTTTGTATTTCCCTGTTAATGTTAAACATTGTAACTGGTCAGTCTCTGTCAATATATATAGATTCTGAACCAACTGTTTCAAAACTGTCGTTTAGTTATAAGTTTCAAGATTGACTACTGGCTACCAGTTGGGTCTAGAATGCTTGTTTTATCCCATTTGGAACTTGGCACGTAGACCTCTATGTTGATACTCACAATGAGACTCGCATTTGATATAATTCACTTTAAATACCAATGTTTTATCCACTGAGCCACTGGTAAAATACAAATTTTTACATATAGAACATACACTGATTGCATAAGATAGTTGATATCTCGACTCAGTAACTCAGTGAGTAACGCTTTGGCGATTGAAGCAAATAGGATTTAGTTCAAGTTTCAGTTTGGGAATCAAAGTTGAGATTAAGGCATAATCAGCTAATGAGCCTCAAAGAAAAGGAAGCATTCATTGTAGATTCTACTGGAAGCTACTATTCAATTTCATAAAACGTTTCTTTGAAGTTCATAAAACATTTCCTTAATAAATTCATCAATTTTCTAGCAAAATACAATTTATTGGCTAATAAGTTGTTCTTCCTTTAAGGAACTATTTAGGGAGTTCGAAATGAATACGAATGTCTTAAAATCATACGGAAAATTATTTGTACAACCCTCAATTCAGTTATAAACAATTAAAATATTCATACGAAATCTAGTTCAGTTTACCAGCCATATAGAAGGATTACGTGTATTATATTATTTAATCCATCGATCTGTATACTTATTGGGTATTCTACATCAAAAGATGACCCAAGAATAATCTCAATAGTTGAGATCATGAGTCAGTTGAAGCTAGACCATCATGAGAAATCTGGAAGAACTGGAAGGCTGTTTCGTTCCATTGTGGGACTCTTCAGCAGTGCGTATCTACGACTTCGCCTCGCGATTCGAACCCAGGACCTATCAGTTTAGTGCACAAACGCTCACGTACTAGACCATGATCTCATGACTCATAATCTCAACTATTGTAATTACTATAATATTCGTAAAAACCCTTCTGATATTATTCAAGAATAATCATTATGAAAAATTAAACACTTCAATTGAACATGACAATAATTCTATTTTATCAACCAAATGATACATGGCAACTTCTTCATTTCTACACATAGATTTAAATGTGTAAAATTAATTTTGGAGAAAATGATTTAGCAAGGAGAAAAAAAACAATTATACAAATGACAAAGCGCAACAAAACAAGACAAAAATAATAAACATCTACAACTCAAGCTAACAATGAACCGATCATTTCCAGTTGAACACAATGAGCAGTCTAATTTTTGAAGATATTTTTTCATTGATTAATAAAAATGTAATTTGTTTTCACATAATTAACTAAGTTGCAATGAAAGATAAGTATAGAGTAATCGTAGCAATGATGATCTTTATGACTGGTGAATATGTTGTTGAAGAAAAAAGAATAAAGAAACAAAAAAATGAACAACTAATACAAACAAACTTAATGTGGAACAATGAGAAAAATCAACACAAATAAAGATAAGCAAACAATTCGGTTGAAAGAGGAAAAGAAAAAGTAATTGAAATCCATTTAATTAATAAAGAATAAAGAAGAACAGAAAAGAGTAAATGTAAAATAATAGATCAAAATCAAGTTTTTTTTTGCTTTTTTGTTTGATGTTCTCCCCTTTCATTTCTACGGTATTCATGAGAAATTTTTTTTCAAAAAAAAGTACAAGATATTGTCAATAGAGTAAAACTTCACAGATCAAAAAACAAAAAGAAAAAGAAACTGCACAAAGAAAACCACACATAAACAATAACGACGACAACAACAACAAGTGGACAAGAACTTTAATGGTTCAACTATGTAGTACCATAATAGAATAGTCAACTTCTTCATTAATAATATCCATTTACTTGATATTGTGAAATGACATTGCTCGAATACAACTTAATAATTAAGCTTTAACTATTCAAACAAATAAACTTCCATTTAGATTCAAGGTTAAATTTAATAAAATATAAAAGAAAATAAAGATAATTAAACAAAAGAAAAAATGAAAAATAAAAATGGCATTATTAAATAGATAGAAAATGATAGAGAAGGTAAATGAATTAAATCGTTGTGTGTATAGTTCAGTTAAAAGTAGTTGAATTGAAAGAATACAAAGGAATAAGTTTATGTATATATATATGAGCTATAAAGTACATCAGTCAACAGATTATTCCCATTGACATGTTTCACCGTTTAATAAGCATTGGCGAGAAAAAGTAATCAGTTAAATAGTAACATCATGTATACTTGAGTGTAGTCTTAAAGAAAGAGACAAACATTTCACCAACAATTAGTATGCTTAACAAGTATAGAGCTGAACTGTATGCATTTGTGTGTGTGTGTTTATATATATATATATATATATTTATACGATTTTGAACAATTAGCACAGCATGAATGTTGAGAAGAGGGAACGTGAAACTATGAGATTATTAGATATTCGCAGTTCACATGATGTGTTGATGAACTTAAAAACAGAAAAAACAGAAGCAAATATGACTTTTTTTCAAAATTTTGATGACACAATTCACCTTGTTCAACATGAATAATTTAATGAATACAGTACAACACGTTTAACTAATTCAATAACGTTAAGTCTATAGCCGTATAATTTTCTTATGGACACTCAAAGTTCAACACGTAATCCTTCACACTCAAATATCGTATCACCAGCATTAAATTGAGTACTGCATAGATTAGCTGCAGGTAACAGATGAAAATGATTTGCCTTTAAACGATCAGAACCTTTCTGTTCGTCTAATCGACCACATGGTGTTTCTAACCAACGTATCCATTCTTTTGGTTCATCTGTTGGCAGTATCGTTATAGAGGCATCAGGTGAATTAGCATCACAACGACAGAGATATGAAACATCTAAAAGAAACAGAAAATTAACAGTTAATTAGTTTACAATCAATGTATTTAAGAGAACTGTATGCTACTCATAATTATTCAGCTGAAGATTCAAATTTCTGAGGACTTTCATGGATGTTATGAATATTGAAGACAAAGACTAGATAAATGTTTCGCCGAAAATATGAGAAATATTTTGAATGGGGTATCATTGATCTACGTACACTAAATGCAGTTTATTCGAGGTAACATAACCTCAATCAGCATATTTAAAAATTTCAATGTCATGAAGTATGTTATGAGGTTGCATTATTAGGAATGAAATGTAAACTTAACAGACAACACTGTCACTATCCTAACTAAACATTTATTATCATTTTATGTTCTATAAATTCATAGACAAAGAAAAGTTTTCTTTACATAGGCCATTAATTGACAAATTATGCCGCTACACATAAGGAAGCAGCCACCACCACCAATCAATACAGAATAAGTATAAAAATATCTATTCTACAATACGGATCACTATGAACATGCAGGATCGAACTCGACATCATTTATAAGATTATACTGAATTTACTGAAAAGCGTACGCACATATCTCCTTTGCTTTACAGAAGCACCGGCGATGGACAAAATAAAACTATATATACGCGTACAGAACCAGTTAACATATGATAACATTCATTATTATCACCCTAGTTACCATCAGATTTCTGAATTTTCTTTTTACGCACCATTTCATAATCATCTTATATGCTGTATACTGCCCCTTTTATCTCCAAGTTACATTTTGCCTTGTTGATTTTTTACATCCAACTATATCCTACTAGCATCCACTCGTTACATTCAACCTTCATCCTATTATCATGACCTTTAATCAATTCTTATTCTCATCTACAATGACCTTTACTTGTAGACGTAAACCCACAGTAAATATTTCATTTTGTAATTGTATCCTTGACCTTTAATCTTTCGTATATCCTATGACTTCTAATCAATCTGATGACCCAGTTATTTAGCTAGTATCAATCAATCATTCACAGTAATCGATCATGTTGGTAATTATCTGTCAAAATCTGTTATATGCAAAGTTCTCAGAACGATAGACCCACAGTTATTCGGATTAAAAAGCTGGAGCTTTAAGTGTGAAAAAATTCATCCAAATGCTACCTTTTCCCGCAGTCACCTCAAACCCAAAAGTCATTCTGGACATAAGAAACTTAATTTGACTTTGATATTATTCTTATTATTAACCCTTTAAACAAATGGAGAATTTAGTTAACGCCTTACCCACTTCACTATTTCTTACTTAATCCATACTTGTGTATACATAAACTATTCTTCAGGCAAATATTCTATTTGATTTGTAATTGCAACTATTATTATAATCACTCCAAGTTATCAGTATTTGTTCTGATCATTAGCAGAGATGGATGGTAGCTAGCAAAGGAATCAATCACGTGCGTTTCGTCCCATTTGAGACTCGTCGACTAAATGTACGTGCATCCCAAAGTTGATCTTCACTATGAAACTCAAACCTAGTACCGTTCGCTTCAAACGCTATCGCATTATCCATTTAGCTACTAAGTCCAGATAGTCACTTGCTTGCGCGATTGAGTGAAGTTTAATTCATTTATATTGGTTGTTTGAATCTTCTCATTAATGTTTAGGATTGCAACTGATCAGTCTCTTATCGGTATATTTGAGGAATGCCTCGATAATGTCTTAAGTCACAAGCATAATAAGCAGAGATGGATGGTAGCTAGCAGTGGAATCCAGTTTCTACTGTGAAATCACAGTTCCAATGTCTCACAAATTTATTCAGGTTGATATCGCATACTACTTAATTCAATGTTATTAATGTTTTCACATTTTACTCACAATTCTAAATCAATGCCCTGTAATTTTTAAAAGATGTATTTGCCTTAAACTCAGGTAATCCTTTGGAACATTAATTTAGGAACTTGAGGAAAAACTATTGAAAAGAATATTCTTTGTTTAATTCATATCTTTGTTAAAATAAAATGAAAATTTTAAAATACTCGTAACCTATTTTGCTTATCATTACGAACTATAACTCCATAACTTCCATTATTGTATTCTGGGATATTGACAAACAAATTTTGTTGATTATATTAATATTAACAATAATAATAATCCCCACAACGCCATACTGATAATTACCATGTTCTCACTAGTGACTGCCTTGGTGAGGGAAGTCTCGCACTTCCAGTGAGAAGCTGTGACCAGTGGAACTAATCCGTGTAGGGTAGAGACAGATATTTACCTCAGTACAATGGAAGATAGTCGCGCAATTTCGTGGATTGGTTGGGGTTAGACATTCACGTCGTTGGATGCCGGCTCGACGGTCTTGAAGTTAAACGTTCGCGCGCGAGACCGAAGATCCTGGGTTCGCACCCCGCGAGCGGGGCAGTGGGTGTGCACTGCTGAGCAGTCCCGTGTTACGATGAATCGACCGTCTAGTGTTTCCAGGTTTCCGATGGTGGTCTAACATCAATCGGTTCATGATCTCAATCAAAAACTTAATAATCTTCACAACCCCATACTGATGATTATATTATCATCTCATATACACACTACTATGCAGCTTTTAAAAAAATCAATAAAATAGAATTTTCTCTGCCAAATAAATAATGGGTTCAATTACACAGTTAATTACAATAACTCTCTCTATATATCTGTTAAACTGTGGAATAAATTAGAATGATGAGGAAACATAAAATGAATGAAAGGATTTTACTAAAGACATACGTATACATACACTCACTAATATACATGTAATATCGAAAAATGAAGAAAAAAATGTAATGATTGAACACATACAAACACACACACAGAGAGAGAGAGGATGATCGATTTTTGATAGAATGCCAAAATGAAAATATCGACCCACTACTAGTAATCGAGTGATTTTATTATTTCGATTAGGAATACTGGGATACAACAAGATTTTCAGTTCATTATTACATTGGCAAATATGCATTGCAACCGCAGTGAACATACATTAACCACGCTCTTGGATAATAATGATTTATACATAAATAGACAAATGACAAACAATAGCTTACATGAATTAAACAAAAGACAGAGACATGAAAGAAATTCTACCATTTGAATATATTATGAATAGCTGTATGTATATATCAGTAAGTGAGCTAAACATATAACTTGTATTAAATTTTCCGAAATAAACTGAAAAAAGTATTTCTTATTTTAAAACATAAAGTAAACACAAGCAACAACAACGACAAAGATTTTATAAAATAGAACTATTTTAATAGTTGAATTCATGGGTTGATGTAAGCTAAACAACTATTGAAAACCTGGAGGCACTCAATGGCCGTTTCGTCCCAGTGGGAAACTCCTCAGCAATGCTCATCCAAGACCTCGCGTCCAGGACCCGAACTCAAAACATTCGGTCTCGCGCGTGAACGCTCAACCTCTAGACCACTGAGACGGCATCCAATGGTCTTAATGTCTAACTTCAATCGATTCATGGTTTTGTACAACCCTTCATCCATTGTCTGAAGTGGACGACTGTCTCCGCCTGACACAGATTGGACTGCACTAATCACAGCTTCGCACTGGAACTTCAGGAAATTGATCTTGAATCTAATCACTAGTGAGCACGTGATCAGTATCAGATATGGGGATTTATGGAGATGGAACATTATTAATAGTTTAATTCATGAGTCAATCTAAGCTAAACCACCACTGAATGGAATAATATGAGAGAATATTTGTGCATTGACTTATCATTCACTTACCATCTGGATTCCACTTTGTTTTAGCTGTAATTAACGCTTCAGCGATATTAGGATGTAATGCTTCACCGGATAAAATGTATAATTTTGCTCGAACACGAATGAAAAACTCCACAATTAAAGATTGTGGTACACGAACAAGATAACTAGGAACCCAAATAGCATCAAGATAAACTGGTGATCCAGGTGGTAGAGTTGAATCATCTAATATGGAAGAAAGAAAAAGACCATCAATTATGTATACAGGTGAGTTGATTAAATCCTGAATAAGGATGATTGGCAACGGGTCTAATAGGACTAGACAGCCCAAACGATATACATATATATATATATATATATATATATATATATATATATATATACAGCATTACAGCGATGACAGCCACACATGAGTAAGAAAAGTGGGGAAAGGGACACTTGTGTCTGAAGACAATTTTAAAAAAAATCAAATTTCACAGTACTTATAGAAAAGTGATTGATAGGAACGACTCTTCGATTATATATGTATAGTCAAGTATTAACAATTTATTTATCTATTCCCAGATAAAACTCCAGAGCTATAAATTAATACGGTGTGGACAGGTGATAAACATTTGCATTGTCATCTCGTGTAAAATCAGTTCGACCACACGTTCGAAAACCATTGACAATTATGAACTAGAAAATACATTTATCCTAATAGAAAACTGTCCTTTGTACAGATCGATGCTCAAGAACTGCATAAATTAATGGGATTAAATTAAGTGAATTGAAGAGGAAAATAACTAAGTATAATAATCAGCCATGGTAATTAGTCGTTAAGTCACTGAGTATAAAGCTGAGTCGTGAGAAAAGATTCATGTAGAAATCAATGACCTATTGTGATATGAAGTTGTATCAAAAGGATAGGGATGAAAATAAATCCTATACTGAATTAATAATAAATATATTTCTGTTATGTCCCGATGAGTAAGAAATTGTACTTCGGACGTTTCGTAACTTAATGTCAGCCACTTCTTCAGCGTAAATAAATAACCGAGATTAAATTTCGGTTACATAACAAAAATATATTTATCATTGACGTATTACCCAATGTTCAATTTATTTAAAACTATCAACTTCATTCTTGGCACTGATATCTATACTGCATTATTTCGAAATCAATAGACGGTTATTATTATTATTATTATTATTAATCGTTTTACTCAGTATTATATCTTTGATACAATATAGAATTCTCAAAACAAAGTATTTCAACAAGTTGCCGTTTCTTATTTCTTGATCGATCCTCACGATAAATACTGAGTGATAGCCAGTTAGATGTCAACAGTTCACGAATCGACATCTCAATAGTGTTCATTCGTTTCAATGCATATTGCCAGCAACCACAATGCTTCTGACTGTACTTCTTTGTGACTTGTACAGCGAAAGGTCGTAAACTTTTCACAAACGCAGCTGAATAGCTTATGCGATTAATAGCCATAATGATGTATTAAAACAAACAACATAACAAATGACTTGTTGAAGTATCTAGATTGCATGAACAGGTTGTCCAGATGTTGAAGCAGGCCGTCGTCCGTAAGTCACATTTAATGAGATTGTCTATGTCATGAGTAAAATAGGTTGAGAAGTGCCAGTTATTCACCAAAAAGAACACAATCACAATGATGATAAGCGGGTAGTCATATCAATTTGAACGTGTAAAAGATACATATTTGAGTCTTCAGATGGCATTAGATAATTTGCGATTTATCCCTAACATGGTATGTTGGAATATTTATGTATTAATCCCTTGAGTTCATGGCATAATTTTTACCCATTCGAAAATTCAAAAGCTTCATCGCCTATATTCATGACGCAACACACTGTTCCGATTTTCTAGTTGTACATAATCCTTAGCTGACTGAATTTCATGCCAAAATGGAATGATTTAGTTAAGGCAAGTAGTAACAAGAGCGTGAGATCATAAAACAAAGAGATTTACAGTTGATTCATTACTAATTGCTGACTATCGCCATGTTCAACTAGTCCTCTTGTGTAGTACCAATACTCCAAAGATTACAGGTTCTCCACACTTAGACGAAGCGTTAAGGTAAGGGTTTTCTGTTAGCTATCTCCAACCACTTAACAAATTATTCAGCTCACATGTCTGATTTTCATAGTATTGAAAAGAAATACTTACATAATTTTAAAACTGTAAATTTTTTTCGCATAATGATGTACAACTTCAGAGAGGTTTTCATCTAGAATTGTAGTGAACGAGAACGTAAGTGGGGACAATCAAATGTATTTGAACACTAAAATTACAGAATCACTTGGTAAAATCTGGGAACTATACTGTAAATACTTCATTTGCATAATGTCAATCAATCGTCATACACTTCATTGTTCTTTCGTTCCCACAGCAATCATTCACTGTGCTCGTTCTCTTTTCTTCTATCTTCTTAACCTTCTGCCTCCAAACATTTCACCTTAGATTGATGAAACATATTATTTATATCTGTTGATATCAGTAGCACACACCACACAGTTATCTAGTAGACAAATGCTTCAACGACAAACCATACAAACAATATCTGACAAATTGATTGACCAAACATATTTTTTCACAAATAAACCTAATACTACTAATAAACCTCTTTAAGGCAATAATCTAAGTTGAACAGCTAGTCCAGTTCACGATGCGCGTACATAATCAATTAAAATATAACATAGAAGATACAGTTTTTGTTTCGATAAAATATCTGTTGCTGGTTATTAAAATCCAAAGAACAGTGACTAAATGCAAAAATAATATTCAGCCACATGGTTTCGATTTCTTTTTCTACTATTAAACTCTCTCTTATCCCCCCCCCTCCTGGGCCAAGGTATTTAGCCTTGTTCCACACATGGGAAAAGCAAATAAATCCAAGACATTAAGCTTTCTATCGATTAATTATGAAAATATACCACGGTCATATAAATAGTAATGATACTAATAATAGTAATGAAAGGATAGGAACAGTAAACTAATTATTGACAACGCCTGATAATGAAGAGAACGAGTAACACGCCAGTGTTATCACTATTATCCGTATTAACATCAGAAGCTCTACCGACATAATAACATACGTACACCTACGCATGCAAACCTATATCAGAAGATATATACAAATATCTGAGAGAGAGATGGGGAAAATAAGAGATCACCTTATGGTTGCGGTTATGAATATAAGTAAAAAAAATAGTGGAGTGACAGGGTATGGTATTCAATCGAAAATAATATAATAGTCACATTTTTTATCACAGACTGACTTGGGCTAAATGTGTACTGAAAACGATCGAACCCCTGAATCTTCTGATCTCAAGCGGAGTGTGCTATCCTTAGATTATTGGATTTGCATCCCATCTTTCACATTTCCAATTTCATTCATTTCTCGATATCCCGCGAATATCATCAATTAATATCGGCTTTATTAGTTTCACGTTTGATACAGTTGAAATTCATTGATCATGTCTACATTCAATGAAACTTCATGAAGTAATTATGATTATGAATAAGTGTGGATAGCTGAGGGATCTTATACTTGAACAAAATAACTATTCAGTAAGTAACAATTCCAGAAGAAATTTTCAGTTTTAAGTTAATATTCCAAACAATGATGATAAAACAAACAAGAAATCGAACGAATAAATAATTATCAAACTTACCAGTATTTAATGCCTTCCCACTTGTATCAGCTGATCGTACACGTTTAGTTAAATTCGTTTGTTGATGTACTATAATGGTAAAATAAATACAATAATCGAGATGAAATATTTATAACACAAGTAAATTATTGAAAACTGAAAAAATTGAATAATTACATTAACGTCATTAGGAATATTTAAATGTCTTTACTCTAACAATTGATGACACTCTTTTCCTAATGAAAAAATAATAGATTAGAACAACACTGAATTGAATGACCTATTTTCTTTTAAAACGAAGTAAAAACCTGTGTTTTTTTCTCCCCAAGGCTGTTAAAAAATGAAATTTTACTTCAATAGTTGAGATCATAAGTCAATTGAAGCTAGACCATCATGGAAAATATGGAAGCACTGGATGGCCGTTTCGTTCTCGTATGGGACTCTTCAGCAGTGTGAATCCACGATCCGACATCGCGAGATTTGAACCTACAACCTGTCGGTCTCATGCACGGACGCTTGACCTATAAACCACTGAGTCGGGATCCAACAGTGTTAATGTCTAACTTCAACTAATCCACGAAATTAAGCGACGCACCCACCACTGTCATCAGTGAGTTACTATCTCAAAACTGACCCGATTGAACTCCACTGGTCACTGCTTCTCACTAGAACTAGAAATTTTATTTGTCAATTCACTGATAGTTCAACTACTCATAAACATACAACAATTAAGTAGTTGACATAGGTTGGTTAAGTAGTGAATATACGAAATGGGTTAAATGAGAATCGTAACAAACAAAAGCCTAACAAATTTTCATACTAACTTTCAGATTTGATTTTCATCATTAAAAATAAACTGTTGACAGTAGAAACACCTCATCAACACACACACACACACAAGCCAAATATGAAACAGAAGAGCCACCGATAACTTCATATCTCGCTAAGCCAAAATCCAACGGTTTATATTTAATTTCAATATAAAGAGTCAAAAATTAGAACAAAATAGCCGTTTTTTTAATAGTCTACTCCGGTTAATATGCAGATCATAGTGAAAATTATACAACAACAATAACTAAAAAGAATCTCTAGAAAATGTAAATTCTTTATGATGACTTGGTAAATGAGAAAATTGTAATTCAATCTAATACAATACAGTCAATAAACAACGAAATGAATCAAACTGTACTGCAAAAAATGAAATTTTCCAAAGATTAAAATTTAACATAAAAAAAACAAAACTGGTTTAATCATTTGCATAATACAAACACACATACAAAGTAAATAAAAATTTTGTTATGTCACATTTGTTTAATCAAACAATCTTTTTTTTACTGCATATAAATGACAATATTGACTCAGTAACCAATTGATTTGGAATGTTACATTGAATAAATTTACTGAATAGAATTAAATATATAAAATATTGGAAAAGAATGTTAGATAATTGAATAAGTAATAGAAACTATGCAGATATTTGAGTACTTAAAGACTTTATTACTATTAATATCGATATCACCATTATTATTATGATGATGATTTTACGTTATATCCAAATGAAGGATAAGTGGTTGGTGACTGCCAGGAATTATTTATTGAATATAATTGTGAATATTCTTATTGGATAATTATGGTGTTAATGGCGGTCTTCTTGAATATCTGGACAACCTGTTCATGCAATCTAGATACTTCAACAAGTCATTTGTTATGTTGTTTGTTTTAATACATCATTATGGCTATTAATCGCATAAGCTATTCAGCTGCGTTTGTGAAAAGTTTACGACCTTTCGCTGTACAAGTCACAAAGAAGTACAGTCAGAAGCATTGTGGTTGCTGGCAATATGCATTGAAACGAATGAACACTATTGAGATGTCGATTCGTGAACTGTTGACATCTAACTGGCTATCACTCAGTATTTATCGTGAGGATCGATCAAGAAATAAGAAACGGCAACTTGTTGAAATACTTTGTTTTGAGAATTCTATATTGTGCCAAAAATATAATATTGAATAAAGATAATAGTAATATAACGATAATAATAAGTAACTAGGTTTTGAATATGTTTTCATTTAATCTATTGGCTATTATTATGCGATTTACTATTCTTAATTAATTCCTAATGTATTGGTTACAGTCTCCCTTACTCACAGCCACTTTCGGCTTGGTCTTGTATAATTGCTATTTCTCATTTTATATCGTGATGCGATCTGATTTGCTTGTATCAATTCTACATATGTTTGAAACAGATTATTGACAAAATGAAGGCTGATTATTGACTTAACGGGCAGGGTGAAGTGAGAAGCTATTGTACGGAGGATCAATGCGAATTTAGAGTTGTCTGAAGGTTGCTAGTGTAAGTTGACTTATCATTGGTTTAGCCCAAAAACAAGGTAATAGAAACTGATTTTTCAACTGGCAATTTCGCCAAGGATACTTGACAGAACTGTAAGACAACATACTGATCATTATCATAATGATTATTATGAATAACACTGACTAGCAAATATAGCCTATAAAGGTAGACAGATTTGTATTTGACTAGTGTTTTATAGCCAGCTGTGTACGCAAGATAATTTAGATCCGTTAGCTGAATATCATCAGCAACAACCTTATGGGACAAAGAATAAATCAGCTTCCAGTTGAAAAGGAAATCAGGAAAAGACGCTGGAGGCGAATAGGAAGCATATTGCGGAAATCATCAACTGCATCACAATACAAGGTCTAACTTGGAATCCTCGAGACAATGGAAAAGGAAGATCAAAGAAAACATTGCACCGGGAATCGGAAGCAAACATCAGAAGAATGAATAGTACTTGGAAACAGGTGGAAAGAAGAGCCCAAGAGAGAGTAGGTTGGAGGTTACTGTTCAGTGACCTTTGCTCTGCAAGGAGTAAAAGGCGAAATCACGTAATTTTATCATATATTTTTGACATTAGCATGACGGGATGAATGGAAAAGAAGTCGAAATAACCATACAACTAGTGATAATGGGAAAGATTGAATATTGAGAATATGGTTCAAGAAGAAATAATGAAATGGTGAGCTATTGTGACTTGTCAATATTATATTGCTTTTCAATTATTTGGACCGAAACTAGATAGTCTACAAATACTAACAAGATTCAAAACAAAAATAGATCATTAAATAACTGATCCCATAACTTCTAGCCTACTCCTACCTAAGATAATATTTACGTATAGACATCCCAGACATCATAACCTCATCAAACAATACGTTATCGTCACTTAATACTCTTTATCTAATCTTAGCATTAGTCACTCAATTGTTGTACCCTAAGTGGGCAATCATTCCAAGATATTTTTTTATGAATTACTAGTAACTTATGCAAGCCTTTCAATTTCAAAGGCCATGTTTTACAGCTGGTTGCTGGGCCGTATTTCCCTCTTTTAATTAGGCAGACGGGTGTCCCTTTTTATCAATGGTGGCTCAAACTAGCCGAATTCAATCGAGATTTCCAAATTTATCTCGAGGTATAATCAACTAGTAAGTCACCAAGGCTTATGAAACTTTTAGAATGGGTTTAAACTACTTCATACTTTGTTACCTAGATTAGGAATATATATGTATTCAGTGAATCTAGCTTCATACTATTGTAATCAAACACTACAATACTGAATTTACATTGTCTCTCTCACCCTCCATCAATCTGAGAATAACTTATTCTCGTATTACATACCAACAGAAGAAAAAAACACAATACAAAGATTGCATAGTGAATCGAAATAGGAATTATAACTTCTTGAAATAACACTAACAAACTAGTCAGCAAGAGAGAGAACATATGGAAACCACTTTAAAAGATAAATGTCATGGCAACTCATCATTTTCAAAATTCATGTAGAGATGAATGTCAAAGTATAGAATTCAAAAAAGACACAATGAGAATCAACTGTATTTCCCTGTGTATACACATATTCGTATTTACGTACATGTATTGCTTGTATGTAAAAATCTGAACAGGTTGTACTACTACTACTACTATTACAATTACTACTACCACTGCTACTACTACGGGCTTTGTGTTTTCATTCTTCTTATTGTTATTGTGAAAGGCTATAATAATAATAATAATGTAAACGAATTTCTATTTTTAATGGTTTTACCATTACCACATTTCATTTCCAAGGTGTAAATTATGTACATGAATGAATAGAAATGAATAAAATACAGTAAAACAAAAAACACAAGTTAAACAGACACAAACAAAAATAGATAGATGGACAGGTGATTTGAATTATTATTGAATAAATAAGATAAAGAAAGACACATTAATCAAGCATAGAGACATACAAATACAAAAATTTGGGTACATATACGCACACTCCTTTATAGGATCAGTTACATACACACACATACACACATAAAGGGATAGACTATAGCAACAGACATATACATGTATAATAGACAGAAATCAATATAGTGCTGACTAATCAAAATAACAATAACAATGAAAAGTTGTTTTTTTTTATTATTTTAATTACCATGACTATTCCATGTTAGTCTAATTCAGTGGTAAGAGGTTTTTCAAAAAATCAAATTAATGAACAAGACTTTTATCATAAACTAATTATTTTACTTTAGTTAAGAATGATCATTCCAATTTCAATCCGGACAAACTGATATGTGTAAACGCAAGTATACACACGCACACACATTCGGAGATAGACATACAAATACATACTGTACAAGACTGGACGAAAACAATTGAATCCTGTCATTACTTAGTAGCAAATCAAATTTTCATCCAACTTACTAGTACGGACGAATATTCCTTTTCATTAAATTAGAAATTACTGTATATCAAGTCCCAATGGACAGTTGCTTTATTCTATAGTTTCATCAAGCAACTGAAGTATGAGTAATAATGATTCAACAATCGGTCAATGTTAAACATATTATTATTATTAGTTTAAGTGACCACCACTATACATATCACATAAGGAAAACTAACTATATTTTGAGATAATAGTAGCACAATATACTCAAAGAAAAAGAAACATGAGTTTGGAAAACCAGATGAAACAATATTGAAATTCCAGATCTCGCAAAAGAAAACAGAAGAATACATCTGTTTGGACGGCTTCGAGAAGCATAACAAAGCCTCCAGAGGCTCTAAAGAAACTGGAGAGTTTTCATCCAATTAGAGCCTGATGGAGCTTTTAAGGATATTAACGTGACATGCTGCGATTGGATGATATCATAATTTGCCTCCTTGCGGATTGGCTGATGTTATAGCCAACGCTAATAACTATAAATACCGATGATTCTCTGTAGATTTTTGGTTCTTATCTAATAATCACTACCTCTACTTCTTCCGTCTTCTGATTTGCGGTAGTGGGGTTCTACACGTTTGAATACCGTCAGTTGTATATCGTATTCTGCCGTAATAAAGTAGAGGAAGTAACAACACCTGCTTTATCGCCCACAGAATTTAGTGTCACTTGACAGTTTCCACAGGAAATCATGACCAATACATTGATCCTGAACAGGAAATTTGTGCATACTGACATCTCTTAAATTAATAGACAAAGATTTGATAAATTAATTCCGTGTATTGATTTATCCATTCAATTTGTTTCTCTTCTAGCTAACATAAACAATGTATATGTTAATTTATACTCATGAAAACTGGAGAGCACTAAATAGATGGGCTCATTGAATTTGAGTAAAGACTGTCCGATATGTTGGAAATAAACTGAAGCCAAATATTTGTATTCTTGCTTAATGATTCATAGTTAGTCTTCCAACCACGAGATCACAAGTTGCGACACTTGATTTCCTATTTTTACTTTGTAAATACTTACTGACTAGGTATTTTAAACTAATATGAAACAGTTGTCCGGTACCCTATGATTTCTAACTGGTTTCCAAAGGTAATCAAATTTGAATAACCGATGTAAACCTCTCAACAATGTGTGTTAATTCATATACTTGTATTTAAATCTGTATTCAGTAATTTGCAATACACATCTTCGTATACTGTTGAGCTTTTGTGAAAAAAAGCCAGTGACCATGAAAACTCGCTATCGTACAAGTTCGATAAAAATTGTGCAATAGTAACAACGATAATAATAATACTAGTGATAATACTAATAATAATCACAATGACGATAGCAACACAAGTGAGTAGGTAGACCAATGTGATCTTTAGCAAACGTGACTTAGTCATATTAAATTAGTATTAGATACGAATAGAAAATATGTATCATCAAGTAAAAATTTATAACGTTCAATGATAACCTTCCCTCATGAGTTGATACATCATTTGGAGAATACTAATAGAAATTGTGAAGCATTGCAAAGTATGTTTAGCTAAAATTTAAAACCATATAAAGTTGTAGACTGCAAAATCATCTAGTGAGAAGCTGTGATATGTAAAGACAACCGACTTCAGGACTTAAGTAAAGCTTATGTTCAATGTAAAGTGATAGTACAGTCGAGATGTAGACCACTGGAGAGTGGCTATCGAGTAAAAAAACTGTATGAAAGTGGAACAAATTAGCTCTTTTATACTAATAGGTAATTTCAATTATTTACTCTACTCGAAACTAATGCTCATAACGAAAACTATCGATAAATTTACAGGCTAAACAACTATAAATAACAAAGAAAACCATATGTTTAAACGTGAATAATTCCAGTTAGGAATGAGTGAGAAGCCAAACACACACACACACATAAGCTGCCTTCATTTGATATTCTATGGATTTTAGTCAAGAAGTATAATCAGAGTTTCATAGGAAAAGAATTTAAGTTTTAAGATGAAATTCATCTGAAAGCAGATTTATGGACTCATGAATTTCAGTTTAGAGAAAACTCTTGATTGAGAAATATTACCGACTGCATTAGAAGTCAGTTAATTGACTTAGATTAATAAAAGAACCTTGAAAAATGTTGATATAGACATAACATGATATCGATATTCCTTAAATCTAGTAGACAGTTCTCTTTACTAGTGTCTACTAGTAAAAAAAACATATCATAGTAGAAAAAATATTTATAAACAAAACTGACATTCAGTTCAATTTTAATAAAGTTACTTGTAAAGTGAAGGTGAAGATAATGACGCTAAAATCGCTGACAAAAGTCACTCACATGCAATGTCAACGGAACAAACTGTCAGTCAATTGTCGATAAAGTCTAAAAGTTGATTTCTTTCTGAAATCTATTATGTTGTTGGTGTTGCCCATACAGACTCAAAGCTTTATGGTTCAAATTGTTTATTTTCATCGAAATCATTAGCCGATCAATGTTAGATGGCCACTGAAAAACTGAAAGCACTAGACTTCTGTTTCGTCCAGGTACAGGACTCCTCAGTAGTGCGAATCCATGACCCCGCACGCGATAACCGAGCCAAGGAACTGCGGTCTCGCGCAAGAACACTTAATCACTGGGCCGACATTCAACGGAGTTAGTATCTAACTTCAATCAATCCACGACACTGCATGACAACCCCCCAATGTCTTCAGCTGGTAACTGCTTCACCCCTGACATGGGTTTCAATGGTGGTCTAACTTGAATCGGTTCTTGACTTCAATGAAATTTAACAATCTCCACAACCCTTACTAACAATCAAATCATTTAGCTTTTTAGAGAACGATAACTGAATAAAACATTTTCTTGATCTGACTTAATAACAGCACGAACAGAAGGCTCCATAATATGCTGATGTTAATCTATTCGACTCAGCTTTAGTAGGTATTCATTTTATTGATTCCCAAAACCGTAGCATATCCAAGAATTTTCAGACTGGAAAAAATTAAAAAACTACATCATCGTGTTGAGTAAAGACACAAGAATGAATTCTGAAACATTTTAGAGAATTGAGATAATGTCCCGAAATTAGTTGTCATCCAATTCAAATATTTCTAGTCACAAAAGCTAATAATTCTCAACAAGTTTATTCATTTCCTTACTTTCTATCTAGAATGTTATACTACTTATAATAAAATAAAAAAAACATAATCATAAACTTGCATTTTGAATGATTTGTAGTTGGCGGAACTGGTGCTGGTAGACCCAGTGGATGACCCCAAGCTTTCAATGGGTCAAATTTTTCTTCATTTGGACTACAATGAGATGATGTATTCTGAGGTATATCCTGTAAAAATTGATCTTTATCGATGAAAAATTTCCCAAAGTTTTCCATATCTTTCGATGGAGTAGTAGTAGTGGCTGTAGTAGATGTAGCAGATGGTGGTGGAGTTGTAGTCATGATCATATATGAACGTTCTTCATCTTCTTCTTCATGACAAGAAGGTGTCATATGTGCTGCTTTAATATAATCACTTTCTGAGTCTTTTGAAAAGTTCTTATCATCAATTGCTGTCTCTGAAAGATAGTGATTATTACTCTTATTCCACTGATTCTGATAAATTTCATCTAAATATACAATGCACAAAATAAGTCAATAAATTACTAATTACCACATTGTCTTACAAGAAAAAATAAAGTAATTATTAAACTTTATTCCAATACACCGACATTTAGAGAAGAAACATCTTAATAGACAAACAGAATTTCACCAGAAGATGACTCGATAATATTCCAAAGGATCCCAATGTAATAAATTTCACCTATAAATTATACATTATTATCCATAAAACCGTTTCAATAAAATAAATTTTAAATTCCTGGTCACTACTGACTCACTTCAAGATGAGTACCAGACGTTCTAAGGGGTAGTGGTGACCAATAAAGTTCAGTCATACTAGGTGTAGAACAACCGACATAAGTGGTACATGATTATACTTACAATATATTACAAATTGATTGATGTTGAAAATATGTACTTATCGCAAGACATAGATGTTCTTGATTAAACTCTTGATGGGATTGTTGGTGCATAATGCTAAAGAGTCCCATACTAGGACGAGACGGCAGTTCAGTGTTTCCAGGTTTTTAATGGTGATCTACCATTAATCGGTTCATAATCTCAATAAATAACCAATCCATTCTATCCTGATTAATCGTAGAAATGAAATAATTAATTGGTTAATTTTAATAAAAAGGTGTCAACCATATCTTATTTACCAGATAATTTAATAAACAGAATCTATTTATTGCACGATGTGGATATCCTCTGAGTATTAATTGGTCACTTTATTCTTTCAATTCCTTAAAATGTAATTAATGAACAGTTGTTCCTATCTCTATGTATAGTCCTAATTTCTAAGTGAATTTAGTATATCATTCGTTTACACTGCTGATATTAAATACCGACCATAGTGTCTTAACTTAACTCCATAGCTGGTTGCTTTAATCATCATATTAAACATTCTGAATAATTATGTGATTTATGATGTTTTTAAGAACTACTGTAAAAGCTATTTGATAGAAACTCTTGCGCCTGGTGACTAGTTTTCTTTGTGATGATTACCTAAATTAGTTTTATACCAACGGTTGTTGGTTCATTTTTAATTGATTTGAATTCGTATGGAGCAGTGTTTCATTATTTAACGTAACTATCATTTAACCCATAGGTTATACGTTCAAACCCCACACCATCTAACTTGGTTTGAACAATTGAATGGTAGTAATATTAACCTTTATGCAAATATCATAGCCGAAAATAGACTACATAAACTTGTAATCGATCAGTCAATTGCAGAAAATTTTGAATTTATAAAGTTTGGAGAGTTTCTCAGTTAAAAATATTACAATTGAAAGTTATTTATGTATTATACTAATTGAATTCATTATCATAGTACCATCTTTCACAGAAATGTTTAGAAATTTCTTTGATTTAAATTCTAATAAATACTAGAAGTTTGGCTTTCCAATTGCCATCTTACTTGGTCCATAAGATTTGGACAGTACTGAACAGACTACACCAACATGAAATCGGTCACTACCCAGTGATTAACTACGTGTACATATATCTCAGTCCTATAGAAGGTCAAGTGAGTTTCAAATAGCTCAATAGTAACGCCTCAACCAGTTAAACGGAATGGAAGATGCGAGTTCACCATGAAGCATTAGTTCTCTTAAGATTGTATGCAGGTCGTGTTGAAAAGTCCCAACTGGCAGAAAACATAGGTCTAAGGTTTTCTATCGACTAATCCTAATCACCTAAAACGTGTCACTTTATTTGCTTTTAATCACATAAAATGTTTTCAGTATACTTCAGTTGTTGTGGTTATTTAAATTGATTTAAACCAGGTCACCATCTCCAGATTTACACAAACATAAAATGGTAGTAGAAGCAACCGAAAGAAAAAACAAAAACCGTCTATGAAAAGAAAATACCTTGATTCTCATCCTCATTGATCTCATTTGTTTTCAAGTTTGAATATTCATTACCATTGGCCAGACATTATATCCGTTTGTATGTGCAATATAACTGTCTTGAAGATGGTGATTAGTGATTGGAGTGATATGTATGGAATGATCGATATCGTTTACATTATCATTTGTTTGATAAATAGTGTTTCCGTTGAAATACTGCTGCTCTAAATTGACGTGACTATTACCACTTTTAGTAGTAGTGGTATCATTTGTGATTTCATCATTATCGTTATTATTTACATCAACATTTGTTGACATCATCATCGTCATTCTTTGCACTATTGTTTCTTCACTGTCATCAGTCGGGATTTCTGAATAAAGATGTTGTTGTTGGTGGACGGCGTTAGAATAGTTTGAAAATCCATTTATTGTAGAATTCTCAAGTAGTTTTTTCATCTACATCAAATTGTTGATAATGCTGATCCTGATGAAGATCTATTTCTGACTCTTTACTCATCGTTACCGCATCATTGTGATACACGACAGTATCATCCCCAACATAATCTCTATCTTCTTCTTCTTCTTCTTCTTCATTTGAATGTTGTTGTGTTGAACTGACAATATTGTAATTTGGTGAGACTGAACGATTTGGACTATAAATTAATAAATCAGCTTCAGAATGTTGTTCGTCTTGTTGATGTTCATATTCCTGTACACGTTCTTCATAGTGTTGCTGCACTTGTACGGTTGAATTATCTGAGATTTCTGAATCAGGACTAATAAATCTGTAAATTTTATTCAAATAAAATAAAAAATTTCAAATACAATAATTTATTTACGGATATGAAATGCAAGTAAATGTTGAAGAATCAGGTTACAAAATCAAGTGTCAATTCTGAAGAACCGATTGATCACATGATGAAACACTCAGTGAAAAAGTAGGAACTCACAACTGATGGAGTTCAAACACTTTGGGATTGAGATAACAAATGATGATAATGGATGTCTATTGTCCATTATTGTTTATTAGTTGAACTTTGAAACGTCGATCAATAGGTTCCAACTGAGCGGTTTGAAGGTAGCAGGCAGGGCACAAGGTATGAAGGTCTTTGGTACACTCCTCAATAGGGTTGTAGGTGAGCACTGCTGAGTAGTCTCATGAATATGTTATTTATTTAAACACATAAACATTGGTAAAACAAGACACCAAATAGATATGCGCCACATGAATCATTCGATTTGTGTGAGGTCTGGGACACTGCCCGTGTGCCCAAACCGAAGCGGGTGGTTTTCTTAAGGGCCACACCCTGAACCTTTGACCTAGAGGTCTGATCCACAAGGCAGTGGAGCATCGTAAGGAGATGCTGTCATATGGTAGCAGGTGACCAACGATTGGTTCATACGCCATTTGTTCCTTCAGGATACTGTAGCCCATGTGAACCACCGGTTTGTAATGAGGGTTTTTCAACTCCCCTAAATGGGCTCTCCATGTCCACCAACTCGGTTAAAGCGCCGGACATTTATAACTGAATAAAACGGTTATTCCATACTTCTTCGCTCTCAACAGTTGTGCAACTAAAGCTAATATGTGATGTTAAATACTAACCAGAAAATTTTCACAAATCTCTTGTACTAATTTCTACAAAGATACAAAAGTTACGAACCATAAATATCTATATATAGTCTGGTAACATATTCCCCTTTACAAGAACGAATTGATGATACATCGAAGTCAGACTTAAAGAAGATAAACATATTAAAGATTATGAAGTCTTGAGTTATATCGATCAATCAGTTAGTCAGCCATAATCAATGTAGAAACTTACACGTATGTGTATTGCTTCAGTTTGAAACACTCAGTTAATGCTGCAAGATGAATCTATCAGAGACAATCTTAGAGGAGAAGAGGTAGTAATAATATTAATGGCAAAAAAAAGATTTTGAGATTGGCTGACAAGAAATCTACAAACCCTAATGTTTTTCATTTCGAAATATAAATTTTCACAAACGAAATTTCCTGTGCAACATACATAAAGTAATCTAGTTTATAGATGAAAATTAATCTAAACTGATGTACATAACCATACACATTCAACATACATATATTATAGGAACAGAATAAACCATACACAGTGTGATCTCATGATGTAATCATCTGTGGTAATAAAAGATTTCACCAACATGTAATACAACATCATAAAGTGTTCTAAATTCTTTGATAAGACTAGAGTTATGATGTTATCTATTACTTGAATTCAAACAAACACTAACTTTCATTGATAAATAGAAGTACAGCAATCATGAGAACTACGCATCAATGATTTGAAATCAAAAATTTGCATTTTGTTTTGAAAAAAAAAATATTTCGATCATAATACAAGTTAGTTAAATCTGATCTAATTTAATAGTGGTACTCCAGGTCATTTATGTAAATCATAAAACATTATTATGGTGATTTCAAATACTGTGATCATAATGATTGTCGACAATATAGGTCATAGTTAGTTTGTTCCATTGAATGAATATTACACATATATCCATTTATGCAAATGTATGATGGTCGTATTAACAATTTCAAAAACCTTAACAAACTAACGACGTATAATAACAGAAAAACGTGATGTATATTCGTTGGTGAAAATAACTTATCACAGACACACATACATATACATATACATATAGAAGAACACAATGAGATTTTTTGTCATTTATAAGCAAAACAGAAAATTACTCCCCCTAATTGAAGAGAACCAATTTATTTACACATGAAACTTTCAATGGTGACAAATGAAAAAAAACTCCACAGAATTCAGGTCAATATCGATGGTCTCATTAACTGCAATTGTTAGATTGTCATGTCTTTCTTTATCTCTCCTAATATTTAACAGGATATAAGAACAAACAAGCGGAATGAGCAATTCTCTGCTAACAGAAAAAACGAGAAAAAATCTCACGTTGATTCATACACATAGACAAACGCAAACATACTGTGATGTGTTATTTACTCTCAGATAAAATTCTCATTAGGAAAAATAGAATCACTATGAGTTTAAGAGAAATAGTTTACCCATAGATTGGGTAAACTCAAGAATAATTTAAACAAACCAGAGAAATAAGTTAGGGATGAAAGCACATAACTTTCAACTACTGAATTAACAGTGTGGCTATCACTCCATTAACATGATTGGGTAGCATCACTAGGTTTGAACAATTAAAGTGTAGCACAATAGTGAGAGGGAAATTTTTTTGTTTTTAGTTGTAATGTCCATGAGGATTTATGTATGATTATAATGTTTAGTCAATAAGTAAGCTTATCTATCTAGTCAATAGTGTTGTTACCTAAAGACACAAAAAAGAACTATTTAGCAGTGTGTGAACAGAGGTTTAAAGTGGTGTACTGATTAATTCCAAATATACATTATATTTGAATAGGCCATTCATTAAAGCATGTCTGGAATTGTAAGGCTGTTAAAACAAATTATCTCGCTATGGTTAACCACTTTAACACCAATAGTTAGACAAAACGTTGAGTAGTATTGCAGTAGCAGTTTGAAATATTGAGTTAAGACAGAACGTTTACAAATTCTTATCCTCAACATTAAAACAACTGAAATTCGACAGTACACTGGATTATCATACAGATGATAATAAAATACGTTAAACTAGTTACTCTGTGATTGGAAACTTAGTATCTCACTGTAGACTATCATTTAATCAAACTAACTACTCTTTAACATTTGCAAAAAATGTACCATGTATAGGTTAATGTGTTTGTCTTTGAGTCACAATGTTTTATCTCTAGATCGCTGGCTTTGGATCCAGTGCTTAACAAGTTATTTTAACATAATCAATATTAATTTATTTGTTTTGGTTATTTGAATCTCCCCACTGGCATTTAAGATTGCGATTGATCAGTCTCTTTTCAGAATATGTGCATCTTGTATAGGTTGCCACGATATCTCCATTAAGTCACAAGTATTTTAAGCAGAGATAGATAATGGTTTGCAGTAGAATCCAGGACTACTGTTCCGTCCTGTTTGGGACTCGTCAGCTGGATGTACAAGCATTCCACGGTTGGTGTTCACTAGATTTTACCTCTGACCAACATCCATCTCTGCTTAAAATGCTTGTAACTTAATGAAACGATCGAAGTTATCCACACAAAATGCACATATTCCTATAAGAGACTAACAAATTCCAGTCCTAAACATTAATGAGAAGATTCAAACAACCAATACAAATGAATTAAACTTCACCCCATTGCACAAATCAATGGCTGTTTGGTCTCAGCAGCTAAATGCATGACGCGATGGTGTTTTTAAGCGAACGATACGGGGTTCGAGTGCCGGAGTGGACATCAACCTTAGGATGTAGGTACATCCAGTTGACGAGTTCCAAATGGGACGAAACGCGCTGCTGGATCTCTTTACTAGCTACCATCTACTTTTGCTTACAGATTTATTTTACTTTACCAATAACGTATTCGCCTTAATTCCAACCATATTTTTAGAGTAATAACTGTTGAATCTGATGAGTATTTGTCGAAAAGAATATTATTCCTTCATATATCTGTGTACTGATAGGGATTAAGATAGAAACGCAACACATTAATTCTAACTTACGGCTGTTGGTGATGACCTTCAACATTTGTTGCAGTGTCTATATGTAATGAGTTATTTAGTTCTTGGTATGAATTTGAGTGAATTTCAATAGGACTATCAACATCATTATGTATATCATGACTAACAATATGTGATTCTTCGTAGGTTGTCGAATCTACTTTTTGATGTGATTCTTCGTCAATTTCATTTGTCTCGGCTTTTCTTTGGATCGTAAAATTTGTTTCATCTGACAGGTAATGATTATTGTATGGAAATCCCTCTAGAGTTTGAATATTATTTATTATTTGATCTGTACTTGAATCAACTTGATATTTAGTAGGATCACTAGGATAAGTCGTTGCTGTACTAAGTAATGAATTATCTTGTAACATCTCATCGTCTTGAGCATTTCCAATATCTTGTTCTAGAGAAACATTTCCAACCTCTGATTCGATATTTTGTTGTGAGTGAATTTCATCGGAATTCATTGTTCTATTGCAGTCATCAGTTGTCATATCATAATTCACATTGTAATCAATATTTATGTGACTTAAAGAGGATTCATCACATTCAGTATTGATTTGTTTTTGTTGATATGGTATGACAAATTCTTTTTCCATTTCATCAATATCTGAATGAGTTTCTTCAATTTGTTTATGATGATCCAATTGTAGATGATCCATATCAATATGTGTTTCTTGATCTGATAGATATTGTTCATGTTTTTGTTCATATTCAGTTTCAGTGGAATTAGGTACGTAGTTCTCTTCATAGTTTGCCGTTAGTTCTGTAAATGATTTCTTTAATTTTCCTTCCTCACTTTTTTCATCTAGGTGTGCATGAGTTTGGACATTATATGGTTGAGAAGAATGATCTATAACATCATCATGATATTGTATATTATCAAGATTAGTAACTTGTTCTCCTTCTTCTTCTTCTTCTTCTTCATCTGCTGCAGTTTGTGTTAAGTGTGTTTGTTCACCAGCGATGAGATTGATGTGTGTTTGATTGTAAACAGGTTCATTATCCATTGCTTTTACTACATCAGTTCGTGAAAATTTCGTCAATTTATCATCGTCATTATCATCATTATCATCATCATTTTGAAGTGAATAATCTTCAGGCACATAACTATAAGGTTGATTGATATGCACATTATTCTGCTCGTCAGATAAAGGAATAACTTCTGTGAGAAAATCAGATGGTCCGATGATGTTTACTCCTTCAATTTTATTTAAATCGATTACTTTAGGCTCAGTTTCGTTCACATCAGCTTCTTCAATTACTTTTTGTTCTGTGTCTAAGTCATTTGAGGACTGTAGTAATTCATGAGGTTCTTCAACTAACTCTTTCTCAAAAACAGATGGAGACAGTTGATCCTGTAACTGACTTATAGTATCGTTGAAATGTTCTGCAATTTGTTCTCTTTGGACATATTGTACATCCTGCACATTTTCATCATACGTTTCTTCGGTTGATTGTGACTGATAGTGTATTTCACATTCATCTTCGTTTCCAGATTTCTCTTCTTCTTTAAAGTGAGGTTGTTCTGTCACGTTACTAAATCGAGGATCAGTGAAATCAGGCATCAAATCACTAGTTATATTAGCATCAATATCTGTTACAGCATGGAATGAAGATAGTTCATCTTGTGAATGATCAACTGAGTAATTTAGCAACTTTTCTCTACCTTCCATTTGTATCGTTTCATCTTCATCTGGATACTGTTTAATTTGTTCATAGTATCCTTCTTCTATTGGTCGTTGACTTTGTATCTTGTCAAAGGAATTATCCATTTCACCTGGTGTAGTTACAAAAGCATCATCATTGCATGGGAACATTTGTTCGTCCAACTTCAATGTTTTATTGGTCAACGGAGATAAACCATTCCCTATAACACTCATAGAGTTGTCATAACGATGGCAAATAATATCTTCTTTTTCATATGATAAGTCTTGAGTGCCTAAATTAAATTCCTTCTCTGGTTGTCGCTGTTCACCTCCGTCTTGGAAATTTTCTTCGTTGCGTTCAACAACCTTTTGTTCTTTTAAAACATTATTTACATTGAATTCAGACTCAAAAATACTATCATTTTGTCCCGTTTCTTGCATTTTTGTCAAATAATTTATATCGTGAGAATTTTCGACCAGCGACTGTTTGTTGACAATGAATGGTAAGGATTCTTCCTGTAAATGATTCACATAGGTTTGGTTATCTTCGATATCAACATTTCTGTTTAATTCATCTTCTACCTTTTGTTCTAAATGCTGTGGTTCATGTTGTTCGATTACTACACTATTACCTACAGATTTATTACTATCAGTTTCAAAAACTGTTGACGATTCTGTTATACCTACATCAAATGGAGTATCAAATGGTGTTTTGTAAGATTGCATATCATGAAATCCTAATGAAGATACAATCTTTTCCTCGGTTACTTGATTTTGTTCATACTGATTTAGATTAAAAGAATTCATTTCCTTCTCTACCACTTCGTGATCATGTTCTTCTTCTTCTTCCACCACCTCTTCCTCCACTTCTTCACCTTCGGCTAGTGAGTCATCACACGATAATGGTGTAGTTGGTTTTAATTCACATTCTAAGTCAATGGTCAATTGCTCATCGGATTCTTCTGCCAGCATTTGATTTTCTTTTAACACTTTATGTACTTTATACTCTTCTTCCTTTTCTTCTACTTCATGTTGTGGTTGTTTTACTACTTCTCTTTGTTCTTCTTCTTCATTTTGTAATGATGTTCCTGTTGAAATGATGTGTTTATTATCTGCTATGACAAACTGATTTGTAAGTGATAAATTGTCTAAATGGTTTTCTGAGTTTTCATGTATAGATGATTTCATCAAACTGTTTAACATTGGATCGACTGATGTTAGTTCATTATTAAGTGATATATTCTGAAGTGTAACAGGAGGTAAGGAGGAATTAACCAATTCTGTCGTCTGTTCAATTGTTTCTGATTCTTCTTTAACAGGTTTAGCGCTTGGTAGACGATTACTTGTCACAGTTAAATTAGAAGTCTTCTTTGTTTGTAATTTATTTGGCAAATGTGTTGTTGGCTCTGATTTACGAGGAGGAGCTTTTGATCCATGCTGGTTAACAAGATTAGAATGTGCTGTCAAACGTTCTGCCATGGTAGTAGTTGTAGTCTTCGGTTTTGTTAGCGGTGTTGTTTTAGGCCCAGACAATGGCCGATTAGTTGTTTTCGACTCGCCATTAACAGGCTTCGTAGTTGCAACATGTGGTTTCGATGCACTAAATGTTTTCTTTGTGTCTACTGAAGACAATGGACGTTTTTGATGAGAATCAACTCCATGGGAATTATTCATTAATTTAGAGTTAGTTGTATTCTCATTAATCGGTTTTTTCAATTGATTTACTGCTAACGATGGCGTCTTCAATGGAGTAGTAGTCGCTGTTCGTTGATTATGATTAGGAGTTGATGAAATAGGCTTAGTTGGTGATGGCTTAGCATTCATTGTAGAGTTAGCTGTTTTTAATGTAATTGTCTCTTTCTGTCCTGTTGCATGTAAAGTAGGTTTACTAAAAAAGAGATAACAGAAGAAATTTGAATAAAAATTACATTTATTCATTGAAATTCATAAAAAGTTAATTGAAGAAAAAAAAACAAAAGGAAATGCAGATTGCAATCTCAATTTCCTTTATACACACTGTAAATAATTACCAAACAAAGATTTTTTGAAAAAATAATGCACCAAATTAAAACCAGAGACATTTCTATTCCATTCTATTTATTGTAAAAAAGAGATAATCATACTTGAGTAAACTGCTCTTCTCAATTCTCACTGACACATATACACGCCATACATATACACCAATCAATGGAGATTTTATCAATTGACTTTTGTATTCAACAAAATGTTATGTAATGAAATGGTTATTGTTAAGAAAAATAAGGCCAGTACACAATGAACAGTAGAAAAAGTGTATGTATAATTTTAAATGCAAAATTATACTCCGATGGTGCTAAACTAGGATGAATCGCACACAAAAAATATACTTCCACAATAAGATGAAATGACTATTTATGGAGGTTTTCTCCTTTATAGAATATTTAAAGGGATGTTTGAAAAATCTTTTGAAAGTCAATTGTTTTAAAAAGTTCCTTGGAACATTCGAGAAGCCGTGCTCTTGTGAATCTGTTAGCTATACTATTGATACAAATTGTTTAATTTGACTGATTTCGGAATAGGGGATCAATGAAGATCCATTTGATACAAAAACGGATCTATGTGACTAGAGAGATGGACCATCAATATGCAACTACACGTCAACGATAAGATAAAAGCAGTGAGTAGGATCGAAGATAGGACATTTGATAGAGCTCTTGCTTCAAGGTCAATTAAAAGCGAAGAAAATGAAATACGTAACATCATAGCATAGCTCTACATGCTATACTTGCAACTAAAAAAGGTGGAAATCACATGAAACTAACACATTTCGGTGGTTGAATAATGCACAGATTTGAGGGTCCACAATAATATTCATTTTTTTGGTAACGGAAACAGGTCACAATAATACTGATTTGGATTAGCTCTAATAACTAGCATGTTCGCTAAAAGTTTCTATAAATTTAAAATCGTTGATATTATCTGAAACTAACCTTAAAAGTAAACATCTCATAATCTCGCTTTCTAGACTCAATCAGTGTTCAAGTGTTGAAGATTGTATGAGTCAAGAAATTATCAGCATGAAGTTAGTATCAGTGTACAGATTTTATCGATTTCTGACCATTGACGTAATGAACAATAATTAAGGCCTACGAGAGTGATCTCAAATTTCACCGGCTCGTGAGTGTCTTTTAATCAAATCTAATTTGTTTCTAATATTTACGCTGACTTGTTAGGAAGAAAATGTACTTTTGTCGACCAAATGTACTTCCTGTCGGGACATCATTTTACAAAGAAACCGAATTGTATCATTGGCTACGGTTCAGTGATCAGAATTCCATTCATTTTCTCCACGATTCAAAACGTACTAATAACTCATTCTTCATAACATCTACTCGTAAGGCGATTGAGTAACAGAATAAAAATTCAATAACCTGATGATTTTGAGCCAGAGTTCTGTGAGTGCTAGTGATACTAAATAGACTGCAGAAAATGTGAAATAAAATGCCAATACAAATCAATGACATAAATATGAACCTAGAGTACTATGTTGTCAAGTATATAAATTTTGCAATGACTAGAAATACTACTGATCTGTCAGTATCCCAACAGTATTATTATTATTATTAGTAGTAGTAGTATCATGAGTTAAGCGATTACAATTTGATTCCTATAGATTTATTCAAGTTGATATATTTATGTCAAATATATCAGACCATATTAGAGTTGAAATTTCTTTTTTTTACAAAAACTTCTTTGCTAAATGTAATAGATAATGGTATTCAGGTGACGAAGAAAAATAACTTTTGTTTTCAAAATTTTCCCCGAAATCTTCAGGTCAACAAAATGTGTTGTAAACAAAATGTACACAAAAAAATACAAAACTTTGGCACAGTAAACCTTAGTATAATAAAATTAAATTACACAAAAACAGTTGGATAACAAGATGGCGGTTTCGCTCCTAATTGACTGGGTCTCGATACCAAATGCTGACTGAACAGAAAATCAATAACATAGATATTGTAAATTTATTTAATTAGCCTCTGAAAACATGAACGAATAAATTTGAAATGACTTTCAAGGTTCCAAATGAGAAGTCATAACCAGTAGAGTTCAACTATTACACAAGTGATACAATTAATCACCGACAGCATTATGTAATCATCACAACATATAACGAGTCAACTAATTTTGGGAACGTAGATCATTCGATTGTTACCCATTTGTAAAGATATTCCGTGCTTGTTACTTGACCTGAAGATCCTTGAGTTTCAGTTTGTGGAAGTTAGTGAGTCGACATTCTAGGGAAGTTTTAAATTTTAAAAAAAACGACCAAGTTGTTTTTAGATTTTTAATTTTTTATTAGACTAACCCCATTCGATCATAAATGTATTGTCACTAGCTAATTAATTTCGAGATAAAATTTCGAAGTTTTCAGAGAAAATTGATGGGATGTGAAGTAAACTGGCCAACACAAGAGAAAGTAACTCTAAAAATAACAACTGATTGTATTATCTCAAATCGAATGAGTTTAAAAATGTGGAAAGTTAGGATTATAGATCAATGACTGAAGATTATTATGGTCACTGTGCAACCTGAAGATTTTAATGTTGGCATCAATATAAAGCTGTTAATGGGACAATGCCAAGGAAAAAAACATATATTCCGTTGAATGCTGGATTTTAATGATTCACTGTCAATTATTCATTAGTTTATGATGAAACTTAATTTTAGATTTTAATTTCATTAGATTACTGAATTACATTGTCCTTTGTTTTGAATTGAAAGGAGAAATATAGTAAACCAGTGAGACCAGTCAAGGATTCAAGAACAGAGGAACAGATGGGTAGAATGCCTTGAGGAACCCTTGAATAGACCAGCTTCACTGAATCCACCGGACATCGAAGCAGTATACACATGAATTCCTATAAATGTCACTTCCGAGTGAAGAGGAAATTCGGAAAGAACACTGGAGGTGCATGGGACATACATTGTAGAAATCATCAATCTGCATCACAAGGCAATGCATAACTTGTAATCCTAAAGAGAGAATGAAAAGTGGAAGACCAAGGGACACACTGTGTCGTGAATTGGAGGCAGACATGCAAAGAATGAATAACAACTGGAACCACTGGAAAGTTTCGTCCAAGACAGATTTGGATGGAGGATGCTGGTGGTTGACCTGTGCTTCTCAATGAGGGATTACAGGAGTAATTAAGTAAGTATTCATACCCTTGCTATACTACTTTGATATGTCTACAAAGTGTTTCTTTCATTTAAATAATTATCTAGTTAATATAGAATTTACAGTGAATTATTAAGACTGAAAATTGATTATATGAATTTATGTACAGATGACATTGATTATATTCTGGATCTTATATCAATTCAAAGTACATATACACAGACAACTCTCTTTGTTTAACTATTGAATTAAACGATTTAAAGGTTAGAAATTAACAACTTGTTGTTTGTAGTCTTTAAATTTTAATGATTCCGTTGCAGATTTAGATTCTATAGTGTTTATACTTTGAATCGGGTATTTGGAAATTTCTTTATGTAAGATTAATTTCACTCTACTGAGCATTATTAGATGGAGTTATTACTAACAATAAAGTGACAAACTGTAATATTGTGCTGTATGTTACTGATGTCAATAGATATTAGTAGTATGTATAATCAGTCGAAAATGAAATGCCTGGCAGTAAAAGGTTAAGAATATCGAAGGAAAAAGAACGAGAACAGAGAATGATTGGTATGAAAACGAAGGAACAATGAAATCTGAGACGATTGAGTGACATTTTGCAAATGAAGTATTTTTTTACTGTATGGTTCTCAGATTTTACTAAGACATTGTTCAATTTTATATTCGTATTCATTCAATTACATTTTTAACGATGTTTTAAATACTTAGTAATGAATAACATTCCGAATAAGTAACTGAAAGCTCAAACTTAATTACCTATCATAGTGTTATTTGAAATGATATTATTTCAATGAATTTCAAATATTTCCTTATTTAGTACTTACTCAACTCCGGAAACATTACTAAGAGGTATAACATAAATATCCTAACTAACTATTTACCATATCAACTAAAAAAAAAAATCAATCACTATGGTAACAAATTCATTTGATGTACTAAATAACATATAAGACCAATAGATCAAATCATTTCAGTCAAGGTTCATTTGAAGACTATAAGAGTATAAATAGTAAGTTATTAAGTTTAAATCTCATGATCTATTATATGAATTAGTTACAAAAAATGGTATCCTTTCACTCAATTCATTGATCAGTATTCTTTATTACTTCGTACTTGAACAGTAAACAAAAAAATAGGTTACATAACAAATCAACAAATTTAATCGATATGAACACTAATTTACAAAACGAAAAAAAAACAATGACAATGTACACAAATTAAACCACTTTGGTGACAATAATGGTATTTCGAAGAAATTAAAGATTGAACTCAATGAATGACGGCAATTCATTGAAAAGTTAACTGTCAGAATTTATAAACACATTCATACAAACAAATAAAAACTTCATTACTTTTAACATTTGACATGATTATACATTAAAAGAGTTTACATTATGCATGTTGTTCTATTTTCTTTGATTTATGATTATCATCAAAAATGAATCAATAGTAAGTTCTTGAATAGCTTACAAATAGCTCTCTGTGAAGTGATAGCTACATTGTGGTGTGTGCTACTTATATTGACGTAAGTAATATAGGATGTTAGTCGTAAACAGAAGGTCTGGAAGCAGAGAGACAAGAGGATCGAACAGTAAAGAATGGAAACAGAATGCAATTTGTATGAAAATACAAGAACAACGAAGTCTGAGTCATTATGAGACAATTGGTGGACATTTTGCAAATTAAGCATTTACTTTATGATTGTTAGATTTTATTAACAAGTCCTGTGATTTTGTGTTAAATACATTAGATTGTCCCTCTCTGGTGTTCTTGTTCACTACAATATGATTAAAATATTTGACTTTCAACCAATTAGTTTGAAGGAATTGCAAATTACAATCACAAGTTAAGTTAGTTGTTGTAACGACTCCTAGACGAAGCCGAAGAAATTCCATCCAATCACATCCTAATACAATTTCCAGGATACCGACATGACATACTATGACTAGACAGTTTTATACACTTCATGTTTGAGGATTGAGTGAACTATAAATTCTTTACAGTCTATACCAGAAACTATAAATGCATTGAGAAAGGCCCCTCGCTAATACTTTGGGAATGTATCCTCAATTTCGTGGATTAGTTGAAGTTAGATATTAACACCTTTGGATGCCGGCTCAATGGTCTAGAGGTTAAGCATTCGCGTGGAAGACCAATAGGTCCTACGTTCGAATCTCGTGAGGTGGGATCGTAGATGTGTACTGTCACGGAGGAGTCCCATAATAGGACGAAACGGCCATCCAGTGCTCCCAAGTTTTCCCCGGTCATCTAGCTTCAATCGAATCATGGATTCAACTATAAAATTACTAAAATCTCCACAATCTCCCCATTCTGATAACTAAATGAAATGTTTGTTTTATCCATGGAAATTCCAAATTTTTGTCTGCCAAATTAATCAATCTACAAACCCTTTATGAAATACAGACATACAGACATTAGATAGATATACAAACATATAGAATACAAAACACATCTATACAGCCATACAATTCCAAAACAGGATTGAATATTGAAAATGAAACATTGAAAATTGAATAATGATGAGTCATATTTCATTTAAACAAACAAACAAACACAATCTACATCAGATTATCTCTGATAGATCGATAGCATAGAGATAGACAGAGAGAGTTAGATACAATTGACGACTGAGTAGGTTATCTGTATGCATTCAAATGAGTAAAGCATTTCCATGACAAATTTATTCAGGTTTTTTTTTTATTTTACGAGATATAAAATCAAACAAATTCATTGTATTTGAGTGAATATGTAAAGAAAAGAAAAAAAACATATACATTTCTATATATATCATGTGCATATCATGAATATGTGTATCTATTTTGGTGAATAATAGTAACTTAGTCACTTAAACAAAATGTAATAATAATACTGTAGAAAAAGATAATTGAAAAATATCACTCTAGTGTATAAACATTAAAGTTTGTTTGTTTGTGATTAAGTGAAATTTCAGTGATTTCACTTGTAATTGAATAGATTACTTTTTAGTTGTATAAATGAAATAGCCAAAATCATTTATGTGTCGAACCGAATTGCCAAGTAGTACATTTAACATAAAAAACAATCAAATGAAATGAAACAAAATTAGAGTGAAGAAAAGGCCAACTGTATAAAGAATATAGTTCATAAAGGAGTAAAATATGTGGGAAAAGAATACTGAAACATAATATTTAAAGGAAGATAGGAATATAAGTACATACCTTACTGTTATCGATGCTCATTCATGTCATTCAATGTTGCCAAACACTGAACACTGTTATTAGCCAAGGCTTAAACAGGTCTAGTCTACAAGTACCAACACGACCTAGGACAACATTCAATGACTACATGTATTGATTTGACAGCATATTGTTTTCTCCCAACCTACTTCTATTTCAGAGGTATTCCTCATCGTGGAAAGTGGTGGTTGGGTAAAACCTAACACATTTCGTAACCTACTCATTCGACCATGATTTTATCAAGTCATAAACCAATTTATTATCAGTACTTAATCTCATCACTGCTCACTTCATTGTTATATCGTACTTTTCAACTACCAATATATATTTGACAAAAATGTGGAATTATAAATGCTAGAAATGACAGCAACGGTTACTCTCAAACTTGTACTATTAACAGTAATGGTGGTAATGAATGACAGTATACATTACAGACAGACACTTTACAGGATCTGAGATGAATACATGAAGCCTATGATCCACCAGCTATTTAATTGACTACCATGGTATGATAGGACCTTAATGAATGAGTTTACTCTGATAAACAGAACCTTACTCGATTTTATTGTCATTATTGGTAAGCCTGGCCACTGAGATTTTGTAATAACTCTACGGGTTGATAAGCAACAAATTCTTATCAATTTTTATAGGATAAATACAGATAATATAGCAGTATTCACATAAAGAACTGAGACTGATTAAGTTTACTTGAGGACATAAACGATTGGAACTTCCCAGTGTTGTAATAAACTCTATATTCGTTAAGCCAGTTAGTTTCAATTATCACTTATTTGTCAATTGGATAATGATCAAGGGTCTGATGTTAGTCAAACTTCAGTATAAACATTGACATTCTGATGTGTAAAATCATAAACTGCACGTAACAAATCGGGTTACAGTTGAAAATACGAATCTATGGGTGTAAATATTAAACATACAATCTATGTAAATGGAATTTAATGAAAAATAATCAAAAACAATCAAGTTTTAGAAACAGTAAATCATAAATTCGGAGCGATTATAAAAACAGCTACTATTAATACATACAAAAATAAATTTGTATTAAACCTGTTTTTTTTAACAATTAGGCATAAACTTACGAAGGACGTGCAGGTTGAGCTCGAACTAATTGTTTCGTCCCAAGTTTAACAGCTGATTTGATAGTACGATTTGATGTTGGACCAGAAAGTTGTGAAATTTGGCATAATCCTTTAATGAATCGTGTCAAATTTTGAACTGGATTAGTGTTTGTTGGTAATACAGATGGCATCACAATGCACAAAGGTTGCTGTGAAGTAAAATCGTGTACAACTGATTCCCATATAAGTACAAGACCAGAACGATGTGACAAAGGTTGTAGTTTTAATTCACCCCAACCCAACTTTGAATAAAGAACTACAGAAGAAGGGATGGTGTCATTTGAAGGATTAGACGATGAAGCCCAAGTTCCTTGATGAGGACCTGATATAAGTGAAGGTGGAGTTAATATTAAACCAGTGGATATATCGGACAATCCTTCTGTAGAGGAAGTATTTGCAGGTGGCACTAATATTTCACCTAATATACCAATTGAATCCTGTCCAGATTTTAATAATTGCGTCATGAATCGATATGTCAAAATACTTGATGGACACCAATCAGAAGAAGTGTAACATCTAATCTATAGGATACAGAAACGAGAAATACATTTAGATGGATTCTGGAACACATTAACTAACCAACAAAAAACAACCTCAAAACTGTTGTTGAACATAAAAACGATCTTAATTGGTCGCTAGAGAATTATGTCAATTTAATGAGATTAGTCTATTTTAACGATATTCTTTCGTTTCATGTAAGTTGGAAAACAGAAAAAGAAAACAGTTTCATGTTGTTAATCACCACAGGAAACTAGAAAAAAAGGAAAACAAATCTATTGAAATTTTTTTAAAATATTGTCGTTAGAAATCAGTGCATTGTCGAATTTAGCAGATTAATTAAATAGATACTGTCCAAGGAGACAACTTGATATAGGAAAATCTATCGAATTAAGATTATTATGGTATTTTCACTGATTATTCTTAATGGTTTCTTCCATACCAGTAAGTCAACAATCTATAGCTCAACAACATCCTTCAGTGTTTTCTTTTTTTTCCTCTCTCTCTCCCTCCTATTTAGTTTCTAAAGTCACCCATGAAACCGCATGTTTTGTATATGATTCCATCAATACATACAATACAAATGTTGGTGTACTTATCTGTGAGAAGTACTTGAATATAGGCTTTATTTTAAAAAAGCACTGAAAATCCAGCATACATAGCATACTGAATATAAATTGTGACGATAGACGATGAATATATATATATATATATATATATATATATATATATATACGAAGAAGCTGTATAATAATATCACAAGATTCTATCTGAATAAGTAAGATTATTCATTGACGTCTGCTTCCAATTCACGACACAGTGCGTTCATTGGTCGTCCTCTTTTCATTCGTTCTTTAGGATTCTAAGTTACGCATTGCCTAGTGATGCAGTTTGATTATTTCTTAATTGTATGTTCTATCCACTCCCAACGTCAATTCCTAATACCCTCTTCAGCTGGAAGCTGGTCTGTTCTCTCCCACAGTAGGCTGTTGCTGATAATATTCAGTCAACGGACATTGAGTATCTTATGTAGACAATTGTATATGATTACTAATAATTTTTAATGATGGTTGTAGCTGTTCTCTAAGTTCCAGCTCCATACTATAATAGAACTAACTGTCTTGACGTTCGTATTGACGATTCTGACTTTGATGTTGGTTGACAGTTGTATTGAGTTCTACATGTTCTTCAACTGTAGGAATGCTGCTCTTGTTTTGCGAATTCATACCTTCACATTTTCATCAGGTCGTTTATCAATGATTCTGCTCAGATATGTGGAAGTTTCCACCTGTTCTATGGCTTTGTCATCAAGTGAGATTGTGTTAGTACTCTCTTTATCTTATTTCAGAGTCTTGCTTTTTCCCCTGTGTATGTTTCCCTGATGCATAGGCTGGCATTAAACTGGCTGTCTTCATCTGAATTTACTCGTGTGTATGGGATAGAACCGTTAGGTGATGTGCGAAGTCCAAATAGTCTAACTATATCCGAGCTGTCCATTGTATTTCGTGCTTCCAGTGAGATGTAGAGGTGTTCATAATCCAGTCATTCACCGGAAGGAAGAGAAATGGGTAGAGTAAGCAGCCTTGTTTGACACCATTACTCACTTTGATTGCATCAGTCAGCTGTCCTTGATGAACAACTTTGCAGTGTATTTTGTCCTATGAATTTCGTGCGATGTTGACAATCTTCTGAAGTACACCATAGTGTCAAAGAATGTTCAATGAGTTTCTCGTAACAACGGCGAACTCAATATAATTAATTCTAATTATAAATATTGTAAGGTTTATATTTACCCATTACTAACAACCTTGTTATAACTGTTCAATCTATATTAATTTAGGCATTGAATTTTTCCGAATAATATACTCTCTTTGTTATTATTATTATTATTGGTTAACAATACGAATAAACTTGATCATGTCTTTTGATCGGCATGTATTTTGTTTTTATTTTAAGAACAAATGCCTAATATATCATTTTATTTATAGTTAAAGATGGAATTCGGGATTTGCTACCGGGTATACTCGAATAATGTATTCTATTGGATATATACAGAAATTGTGTACAATTCTAATACTTCGATGGTAGCGTCTTTTTGACATTAACTGATGAAGATTCAAATCCCAAGTACACTAATAACCCTCTCATTACCGTCGAAAAACTTAACAGATGGTAGATAACCTCAATATACGGCTTTATGCTAAATGGCTTTAACCATCTAAGAACAGTGTAGGGAATTTAATTACTTTCAAAGTTGAATTCACGATTCGATATGAACTAGACCACCAGTGACAACCCAGAAGCACTCGACGACCCTTTCGTCCTAGAATGGACTCCTCAGCAGTGCGCATTCACGATCCTGAACGCGAGACTCGGACCTAAGAGCTTCCGTCTCGCGCGCAAACGCACAACCTCTAGATAACTGAACCGGCATCCAACAGTGTTAATGTCCAGTGATTCCATGTTCCCAATGGTGGTCTAGCTTAGATTGACTCGTTAATTCGACTGTTAAAATACTACAATTCGCACAAATCTCCATCCAAATTTAATTACTAAAACAATAGAGAATAGGGTAACATTTTAGAACCTAAGCTGATACGATTTAAAATTATTAAAACTAACTTTGGCAAATGCTTCACCATTGACCACCAATTTGGAACCGTTTGTGATGTATAACTTCCGCCTAGAAGTGCTGTAAAACCTTGTATAGCAAATAAAGCACATGATTGTGATGCTATTCCATGTCCTGGGAATATATAGATTACAGGACGTGTAGTGTTTAATGCAGTACCAGCTGATATACTATTTAAGTCAGACTGTATTGTAGTAATCGGATGTTGATGTATGATATGATCAACAAATGATCGTAATCCTTCAAAACCTACATATGTAAAGTAAAATATCATTTCAATGTTAGTTGATTGAACATAATCAATAAAAGAAGGAACGATTATATTTTAACATATTGAATATACGCTACTAGGAAGGATCAAATACTGGAAAGTTACTATTTTTTCGGAGAGGGGATGAATATCTTACAAAGTACTACTGTTTACATTTTTTTTGCTTGTTAGACAAATGGATCATTGTATTCTTCTATTTGTTGTATGTTTTACTTTACTTAAATTATTGTTCATAAATTATGAATATACTCTAATTGTTCTTTCAATTATTGGATTAATTATGAGGATATTGTAAAATTTTCTATTCAGTTTATTCTGTAGTTAGGTAATTAAATAGAGTTTTGAGTTAGAATGAGAAGATAAACACATTTGCCAACTTCATCTTTTGACTGAATGATTGGTCAAAAGTAGCTCAATTAGTCTTGGGAATATTCCATGATAAATTTAGAAAAAAGACTGATAATCCATTTCTTTGCTCTTATTGGATAAATTAGTTGATCATAATCAACATATACTCTGGTACAAATATGCATTAGCTTTTATTGCCGCAGTAGATTAACAAGACGGGATGGAATTAACAAGATGAATAGTAAATGAATTCAAATAATCATAAAAGCAAAGAAGCGATCAAAAGGTATATATGAACAAAAGTTCATAATTACCGGAGAAGAGACTAGCAGTACACTGAAACAAACACTATCCAAAATGATAAACAACAATAAATTTAGCATGGAACAAGATTTCCTAAACAGAATTGCATCCTACACTAATTGAAATGCCTGTTGTATCCATACAATGCCAAATACCTAACAGGCTTGAACGTGTTAATCTATTGAACACAATTTTTTATATTTCTAACGCATCTTGTATATCACCTTACAGTTAACTTTCATACATGTGCGCATTGAATTAAATAGTGATAATTGTGTGTATGCCTCTGCCTACGCATTCATTTAATCGTTTAAGCTGTTTAAACTACCTAAATTCACACGTAGCTGACAATGATATATATTTGCATAGTGAAAATCAACTGAACTCCTCTCTCTGTCATCGTTAACCCGTTGCACCTCTTGAGTCATGTGCTTAAGTTATACCATTCTAGTTAATTCTCTTAAATTTATAGATGCTATACACAAGTGATGATTGTAATTGTACTGTAGTGGACGCTAATCACAAAGAAATTTGTAGGTAGTGTATAGCGGAAAGTGGTGTGAAAATTGCAATAATTGTGCAACATTTAAAATTTTCAGTGCATCAAAAGCATAGCGTTGGCAGAACACTTAAAGGCAAATAGAGAAAACAGTTTGAATTGTAGAACACTGGAAAACGATAATGGACGATTGATGGTTATATATAAGTTTTATGTAAATACTTTGTAACTTCTCTAAACAAAATATACATAAGTCTTGCTTATTGTCGTGTTTTACAGTAACTGTAGTCTAATTGACTTGGTATTGTTTTACTTGAATCTTCCCATTGATGTTTTAGGACTGAAATTGATCAGTCTCTTATTGGCATAAAACATCAATGGGAAGATACAGTCAAAAAAACAATACCAAGTGAATTAAACTTCACCCATTGCACAAGCGAGTGGCTATCAGGACTCAGTAGCTAAGTGGATAACGCGATGGCGTTTGAAGCGAACGGTATTGTACTGAGTTCGAGTCCCCGAGTGAACATCAACTCTGAGATGCAGGTACATCCAGCTGACAAGTCCCAAACAGGACGGAACGCGCGTCCTGGATTCCATTGCTAGGCACTATCCATCTTTGCCAGTAACTGTAATCTGTTTGACTGATAAACGAAGTATAAAATAATCAAACAATTAGTCGCTACAACAGTTTCACATAATCCAAAATAATAAACAAATAACTTGATATAATCTCACTTTTTGCTGAAAAATTCAGCTATAAATAATTAATTACAACTTACCAGATAAATTTCCATGAATATTTAATGGTTTCCCATTCAAACGCCAACTTGCTTCAATAAGAATGTCAATTTTAGCCATACGAGTGTTGATTTGTGTAAGTACAGTATGTGGACGACCAGATTTATCCACTGGCCAACATGTTCCAGTACCAGCAATCGGTGTGATAATGTGTAATTTAATTTGATCACCAAAATTTGAAAATTTCTTTAAATAAGGCCACCAACTCTAACAAGTAAACAAATAATGAGAAATATTTTGACTTCGTTTTGTACAATATTGATAAATGTAAAAAAATTCGAAAACTGATTGTATTAAATAGATTCCTTATGTTAGATTATTAGGATTGATTACTTATTCTTCGTAGTTTGTTCTTTTAAATAGTAATTAAAAGGAAACATCAGATAATTTTACTCTGATCATCTTTGAAAAAATCTTCATCATTTCGAATCCGCTTTTTGTCATAACTTTACATCATCTCGAGAATTAAAGAGAACTACACAATTATTTTAATCTAGTTTGACATCTCATTCTAACGATCTTCCAAGATATCTTCTCTCCTAACTGACATACAATTACGCTACTAAGGATAAAAATTCAATGTTTGGGATGATCTACGATCAGGCTGTTTTATATCAACACAACCTTTTGTTTGGAATTATTCATCGAACCTGTAAGAGCTGAGAAGAGATTACAAATTATGTTGATCGAATAAGCTTGACCAGATGAGGGTTTTGTTTCTGATTATTATTAGTGCTAGTTTGATGTATTTTGACAAAAATTGGTTCAGGTTAGCAATAAAATCTAGGGGTGGGCGTTTCGAATATTAACAACAAGAAAACTCCAACCGTTATTTATATATGTATATATTGCTTCAAACACTGTGAACAAAATAACGGCTATTTAGAATCAGTAACTTAGTAGGTGTTGTAAACAATAAGCACTATGTTTGAGTGTCAAAGTGAACATCGACACCGGATTCACATCCATCCAGCTGATGAATACAAAATAAGACGAAACAAGTGCCTCAAATTTCACTGCTAGACACTACATATCTTTATTAAAAACTTGAAAGGCACTCTGATAATAATGCACACATCCTACTAACAGAAACTAATTAAATGAAATAATTGTGATCTGTAAATTTTGTTTAAAAACACTTGTAATACTTTTTTGTTTTAAAAAAAACATATAACTGCGAAATGGTATCCAATTAATCCACCATAAAAATAATTATTAATAATAATAATAATAATAGAAGTAACGATAGTAACTAAGTGCAATGGATCAAACATAGAAGAAACTAACAATATTCCTTCTCTAAGTGGTTAAAAGAGAATTATTAGGCAAATGTAAAAAAATTTAAAAAAAGGATTATACTGAATGCTTTAAAAACACTTTTAATATTCTCTTATTCAAAATTTAATCATCATCATTTGATGGTATAGTCTATAATGAATCTTGATTTAAATTCTTTAGAAAGATGAAACTGATAGATTTTAAAGGAAAGAAAAGTGTGTGCAAAAAGAATTAAATGATATGACTTGATATATTAAGGAAAATCTCTAGAAAATGTAAGACATTTTTGTATACTAAGTTTTATTGACAACTTGATTAGTAGTTTATGTAGCTGAAGACCATTGCACATGACGTTTGATGTTGCATTTATAAATGAACATAGTTTGAAATATCGGACTTCAGTTAGTATTAATTGACACTAGTCGATGAGTTGGATTAACGGTGTCAGGATAAATAATTTACCTCATGAAATAGATTTTACTATCAAAGACACCTTGTTAACAAATGCTATTGATCATGAAACTAATGTTTGGAGATTATCCCGATTTGCTTAACTACTTGACGCTTACTACATCATAGAAACCCATACACATAGTTCCCTTTATTATCTTACCGAGAGTAAGAACGAAGATTGGTGTAGAATAATGAATGGATTCATTTTATTTCTTTAAGTTTTCATCAGCTGCTTACAACCTTAAATATTTGAAAATCAACGTTATTACAGATTTTGACATACTTATATATACGAGGGTGATTAAAGATGAATGCAATACAATACACAGCCATCTAAAGTTTGTTAATCCCATAAGTTCTAATCACTATTCAATGTTCTGGAACTTTCCCTCGAAAACTATTTGTCCGAAACAAATTTTTATGACCTTATTAACTCTTGAAATCTTCCGTACATCATGATACATATATTCATCTTTAATCACTATCTTATGTATAAGTATGTCAAAATCTGTAATAACGTTGATTTTCAAATATTTTAGGTTGTAAGCAGTTGATGAGAATCTAACGAAATAAAATGAATTCATATTATTCTGAGTCAATCTTCGTTATTGTTCTCTTATAGAAACTCATGATGAGCGATTAGAAATGAAGCTTAAACTAACGTTGGTTACGAATCCTAAATAATTTCATATAAGGTGGGTTTTGTGGATATTATAGTGATTTCAATGGTTAAGATCATGAGTCAGCTGAAGCTAGACCACCATAGAAAACCTGGAAGCACTGGACGGCCATTTCGTCCTATTGTGGGACTCCTTAGCGGTGCGCATCCACGACCTCACCCCTTGCGACATTCAAACTCAGGACCTACTGGTTTCGCGCGCGAGTACTTAACCACTAGACCACCGAGCCGGCATCCGACGGTGTTGATGTCTAACTTCAACTAATCTACGAAATTCAGCGACACATCTACCACTGTCTTTGGTGAGTTACTATCTCAAAACAGATCCGATTGAACTCCACTGGTCACTACTATATAAGGACGAAATGGTCATCCAGTGGATGCACACTGCTGAGGAGTCCTACGATGGGACGAAACGGCCTTCAAGTGGTTCCACGTTTTCTGTGGTGGTCTGGGTTCAACTGACTCATGATCTTAACCATTGAAATTTCATATAAATCAATATATTATTGAATAAACTACAGAAAATTGGACACCAATGTTGATCTAACCACTTGGATTGAAACTATCGGTTGTATAAAAAAACCCAACTATTGGGCATGCATTCATAGTTCAGTTCGTTTATTAAACATTAAGCAGATAAATTCTAACTGATTCCACTTAATAAATAAATGTACAGTTATACAAATGAACAATATTAGACCGTTAAAAGAAAAGGAGAATAAAACTAAAAATATTTCTGTTTTTATTTTGAAAACAAACAAACAAAACATTTATAAATTCAAAGCAAAAAAAATGGAATAAAAATAAAACTATAAGGGGGTGAAAGTTACAAAATATTATCCAATCACAATTGATGATGTAATAAACAAATATTCAAATTTGCTTAGTTACATCTATAGAAACATTAGAGAAGTTTATCTGGAAATCATTCAACATTTTTAAATGGAATAAAAAAAATATATGCTAAAATAAAATGGGTAATAAATTCATTTTTTGTTCATTCATATAAAGTACACATAAATATACTAATCAAGGGATTTGAATGATTATATAATAAAAATAGATTGTGTACTAAAATAAAAGCTAATGTACAACACTCATGTACTTGTGTGTTTATATGAATTAATATGGGGTTTTTTTGTTTCATTTTCACAAATAATCATTCAAATGATTACCATTTACAAAGTGAACAGTTTTAAGGTTGTTAAATTATATAATGGTTTATCAGTTACTATGCACGGAAAAAAATAATAATACGATTAGATAAATAATGATATTGTATATAGTTACTATAAAGTGAAATGATTGAATTTTGATAAATCTATCATCAAATTCTAGCTCACACGATAATATTCTTACTCCAAGACTGGATTAATTGAAATTCCATCGTGTATGAAAGTTTTGAATATATACAACGTCAGTTTACGATTGGAAATAGTCAGCAGGAAACTCAACACTTAGGTTTCATGTATCTGGTTCTCCTTATGGAATTCGAACCCGAGTCACCCATATTCCCAATCTTACACGTTACCACAAAGTGATAAAGAGAGCATCAGCTAGTTTAAGATTGCAAGTAAGGTTTGCTGATGAGTGTCAACTACCATGAAACTCAAGTAAACGGTTTCCTGTTGACTAGCCCCAAATACATTAATTAAAAACAGTTTACACGATCTCGAGTTATATTGCAACTTGATCTATAGAGTTGATCAGCGCTAAAGGTCAGATAAACGTGCTACTAATCACTAATCGGTAATTAATCAATGAAAATATCTTAGAACTCACAAGTTACTAGAAATCTACCACAAAAAAATACTAATTAGGTGCTGTATGAATAAAATTAAAATACGAACTCATCAACTCAGAGTTTTAAGCAGTGAATATATTAATCGGTATATGAAAACTCTACAACAGAGGTGAATCATACAAATTTTTTATGTGTATATTTTAAAAAAATATCTTAATAGTATTTATCTGCATACACCTCATCAAGTATATTGTGTATTGTGGAAGAAAATATTTTTCCTCAGGATAGATACACTTGTCATAACGCTTTATTATCAAAGCGAAAGCATTATTTATTAAAATAGAGATATGTAAACGTTTGTTTACAACTCTTTAAGATAAGCAGAGATGATGATGGCTAACACTGGAACCCATGACCCGCTTTTCATCTTATTTGGGACTTGTCAGCTGGATGTAACTGCATCCCAGAGTTGTTTTCTACTCGGGGACTCGAACTCAGTACCGTTCACTTCGAACGCCATCGCATTATCCACTCAGCTACTGAGTCCAGATGGCCATTATCTTGTGCTGACAATTCCCAAGTATAACGGAACGCGCTTCCTGGATTCCACTGCTAGACACCATCAACTTCGCTTATAATGCTTGTGACTTAAGGCAATATCGAGGCAGGATGCGCAGGATGCCCATATGCCGATAAGAGTCTGATCAATTGCAATCGTAAATATCAATGGGAAGATTCAAACAATCAAATAAAAAATGAATTAGTTTTCTGACTGTTTATATTTTATTTTCAAAGCATAATAGACTGATGTAACACAGGAGACCAAGATGGAACGAACTAAAAACAATATCAACACCATTCTTAAGCGCACGATAGAAAATCTAGCTAATAAAAGCAACTGAAGGTTAAAGCATGAAATTCTTATGGTCATTAATTGAAGACAAAGTGTTTTTTGTGGTGCAACACTGTTTGACAAAATGCTTCTTAAAAACAGAAGCATACCTAAAACATTCTACCAAGATTCTTATTTATGGTTGATCGGATAACTGT